TACTATTTATCATCGCGCTATCGCTGCTTTAGCATGCGACAAGAATTACCGGTTGTCAAACATATCGATCGCCTGTGAAGCAATGTTACATTTGAGATACCGTGACTTTATGCGCGATCAAACAAAGAACGGACGTCTGTTTTGACAGAGAGAAAGCACGATGGTGTTTAACATACACGCCGTGTGTGGAACTCCTACTCGAAAATTATGCAACCGAGAGAGCCCTTCAGACGTTTGCTCGCGATAGATAATGCAATGGGAATACTAAACAAACCGACCGTGATGACCCAAAAATCCCACGAAACGAGCGCTGTCGGCTGGAAATATGACTGAAAATAAATGTGTAAATCTTTTATGTCCATGCCGAATCATCATTTTATTTGTTTTCAGGCTGAACTGTCGACATATTGCGTATTTAAAAAAAAGAGAATGGAATATTTTAACATTTAAAGAACATAAATACACGCAAAACACGCAAGCATTCGACATTTGTCCAGCTTCGTCCATTTCGTTTGTAATTTTTTTCTGTTTGTATAAAAATCATTTTATAGTCACACGGTTGTAATAACGCGAAGAGAGAAGTCCATAAGAAAAAAAAAAGAAAGAAAAAAAAAATAAACGTATTTCTCTCTCTCGGTGAAAAGTAAGAGAGTCGAGTCAAAGTTATTTAAAAAAAAATCTGATACCGAGGTGAGAGAGAGATCGCGATTTAATCTCCTAGATGTATCTGACGACGATAATGGAAAGGATCGCGATATATTAGTTTCCCCCGAGTTTCCGAAGGGATCCATTGTTGACGGATGGAATATCCGCGTGCGCGGATACCAGCCGCGTGTGAGAGCCCACGCGGATCGAGATCCCGCGATCCGTGAGCCGTGGCATAACGTCGTCGCACCGCGGGCTTTACGCTTCGTAACAATGCCCCGACTTTCTCCGTCACTTTCATTTTCGTTGGTCGGCTGGCCGACTCTCCCGCTTCTCTCTCGCTTGGATTAAGAAATAGTGCGTGCCCCTCCGCCGTATGGCCCGAGTATGCCCCGGCCGTGCCGCGCTCACCGGACCCTCTCGATCGGGCACCCGCGCGATTTTAGAAAGGGTCTCCTACCTCTCCTCTCTCGGAGAGGTTCGTTCCGTATTGGTACCTTCACGTTATGCGGCCACCTCGCGAAAAACGCCGAGGCACGCGCGACGCGCCCTTTTCCCGCTTCGTTTTTCGACACTGGATATCAAACCGAATACGCGTACAATGCGTACAGCTTGTGTATACACAACGTTATTAATTTTATTATATATAAAAATCAAAATTTTTAACGGAAGCAAAAACCTTTTAAATTATTTCTTACTCTTAATATTTACGAACAAGTAGGAACAACTATCTTTTTATATACTTCTTACAACTAGTTGTATTAAAAAAAAAAAAAATGCAATATACTAGAATTAATTTATTTATAATTCCAATCCAAGAGAGAGATTGTAATATTATATAATTAGTATAATAATAAACTGTGACATAAGTATAATTTGTAATATCTTTTTTCTGTCAAACCTGTTTGATTCTTTCACTATCACCAATTATAAAATGAAAAAGGAAAACATGAAATATTGTAGAAGATTAATATTTTTTTAACACGTATATTTCACTTTCTGTTGAAAAATAATGCCATAAATCGTCGTACGAAATAATAGAATCTGCACAAATCAACTCTCTCTCTCTCTC